CCACGTCGGCGCACCGTAGGTGGCGCGAGCCTTTTATTCCGAGTAATGAAGCGACCGCCGTCTGCGCGGCGCTCGTCCGGAAATAGTGGCCACGGTGCTCACGTAGTGAAAACGCTTCGGGGATTATTTATCCGGGGACTTAATGGCGTGCAGGAATGTCGAGACGAGGCGCGTTTGACGTTGACACCAAAATGGCGCCACGCGGCCATACCTTCGAGGGCCATCGCGCCGGCCCGGAAATTGATGCGTGCAGCATGCGTCGGAGGACATATCGTAAAAGCTTCGAAAGTGCTTTTTCATTCGAAGTTTGCTGCTTCTTTTATTAGATACGCGCCCTTCGTCGAGGGGCCACGAGTTGGCTCGTCGCGGCTATCGACGCCGGTCCTCGAGGAAAGCTCGATGAAAGCTTGTAGTCGCTTGTAGAGCGTGATTTAAATGTCTGCAACGGCGGATAAAATCTTCTTCTTCCTCTTCTTCTTCTTCTTTTTCTCGAGATTTTAATTCCACCGCGGCGGAATGACAGTCGGTTTTCTTTTTCAACTGGAGCTGGAAATACCTAGCGGAATACACTTGCTTCGTAAGAGGCGACTTTAACAAGGTTACTCGTCTAAAATTAAAATGGTCGATCGCCTCGATGGCGTGTACGCTTCCGATAAAACGTAGCCCGTTGTTTGAAATACTCGATACGATGGAATGGGAAACAAATTGGCGGAGAACGCGGGAGATTTTCTAAATACGCGTTTCCACGGCACCTGCGTAGATAAACTTTGAACGCGATCGCGTACCTTTATCGCGGACCCCCATACCGGCACGTATATCTACGGTATATTTAGTCGATGTTATTATCGTAAGGAGCGTAACGTCGTCGACCGACGTGCCAAATAAATCTGAACAAGATATCTGGAGAACTTAACGAATAATAATATTCTGCCACAGCTCTGAAGACACCGCCGGCGTTCCACGAGCAACGGAAGCAATTGGAACGGGCGAAAACCGGTGACCTGCTGAAGGCGAAGATCCAGCAGAGACCGGGCCGAGAGGAGCTGGTTAGGCAGCATATCCTCGAGGATGTGGGTCACGTGGATCCGAGCCTGGCCGAGAGGCAACGGATGCTGAAGAAGGCCAGGTTAGCCGACCAGCTGAACGACCAGCTCAGTCATCGACCTGGACCGCTCGAGCTCATCCAGAAAAACATTCTCCACACGGAGGAGCCTATTGAGAGGGCGGTCAAAGGTGAGCGCATGCATCAACCACCCAATCTTATACCTTTCGCGTTTCGTATCTTGATGGATAACGTCCGTGAGAGATTTCTAAAGAGAGAACGCGTCTCTCGTTTCGTGAGAACGTTCTTTCTATTCATTCAGAAAATTGTGATCGCGAGAGAATTGTGATCCCGTCATTGTTTCTCGTTCTCCGCTCCAGAGGGTCACATTCCCTTCAAGGCCACCTGCGAGGGTCAAGTGACGAAGCCTCAGCACCCAGATCACTACATCACCTTCGAAGATGACTCGCAGAGCTCGGAGGGTGCAGCCTCGCCGCAGCTGGAGTCCCGGCCGGACGTTTTGGAAACGGCGGCTGCCTCCGCTGGGATAGTGACCGTCTCGCTTAGTATTCCAACGACCGGCGGTGCCGTGGTAGTCTCGTCTACGTCGCCGGTGTTCCAACAGGCGTCGAACGAGCCGACGATACAAACGTTCGCGGAACTGTGCAATACCGTGGTCGGTTCTCAGCAGCAGCAGCAGCAGCAGCAACAACAGCAGCAACAACAACAACAACAACAACAGCAACAACATCAGCAACATCAACAGCAACATCATCAACAACAGCAACAATCCCAGCAGCAGCAGGCTCAGCACAATCAGCAGCATGCTTCTACGCAGGTGAGCGTAGCTCGAAAAGCGCGTAAATCCCGATGCTCGACGGAAGGTTGATTTATCGGTCGATGTAGATGGACGATAACGGCGCGGCGTGCCCTGCCCCCGGCGAAAGAAAGACATTTTTCGAGACGATAAACGATAGGGGAACGTCGACGACGACGATGGAAAAAGCATCGGGGCACACGGCAAAAATAGATTTACGTCGGACGTTAAGCGCTGCTCGTAAATCGGCAACGCACCGATGTTCGGCCGATTAATCGAGGATTCCACGAGTGAAAAAAGCAACGATCTCTGTTAACAGGCGAGTCAGACGAACGGTCCGTCGACGACCCTCCTACCGCTGGCGCCGGCGCCCAGTCCGATGTCCTTGGGCTCGACCACCTCCAGCCTGAGTCCCCTTTCCAATATCTCGATAGCGTCGCCACCGGCACCACCGCCCGCCGCCATCACCCCCAGGCCGCAGCCGAGCCCCATAGCCACCTCCGCGTGTCAAAGGAGCGACGCGCCCGGCAAGGATAAGAACAGGAAGAAGTCGAAGACCAAGAGCCAACCCAAGACTCGTACCATCAAGTTCCACGAGTACAAAGTGAGTTTCCACTCTTTCGTTCTCTTTCTCCTTCCTCCTTCCTTCTCGTTTTATTTACGCGTAGAGTTCTTGCTACATAAACTCTTGACTATATAAACCAAGAGACGATCTTCCCATTGAGTACAGCACGCGTGTTGCTCACCATGATATAATCGTGACCTGCACCTGCGATATAACGTACGCGGCGTTTTACTTACTACTTTCGCTCTTCTGATTCTGTTTGCATTTCTCTCGGCTGTAGTGGGCGTGAACGTGCGGCTTTTACGTCAACAACGTGCAAATATATATTACTAAACGTTAAACGCGCCTGTGCGAAAGAAGAAAACAAAAAAAAAAACACGCGCAACGGTTTTCGACTCTTTTTTCGTGGCTCACCCGCGAACGAAAAAAAAGCGAGATATCGCCCTGTGCCGGCTACCTTTACGTTTGTAAAGAGACGAGAAAAAGAAAGATGGAAACGAAATAACTGAAACTTACAAAAAAGGAAAGAGAGAGAGAGAGAGAGAGAGAAAGGAAAGAAACCGGGAGAAAAGGAAAAAGAGATCTACGAGAGAGACAAAAACAAAGATAGAAAAGAAAAAGGCAGAGGCAAGAGAGAACAAGAGAAAGAAGAAGCAAGAGGGGGAGAGAAAAAACGACAAAGGGAAGGAAAGAAAGCAGACGAGAATGGCCGAAGAAGAAAAAAACGAAAAGAGTAAGAGAGCGGGTGAAGGAGAAGGGGTAAAAGCAAAGTAAAAAGGGATTCGGACGGCCGGTAAATCTCAGCTCCCGAAACCCGCGAGGGACCGATTCTCCTCTCTCTCTCTCTCTCTCTCTCTCTCTC